AAAAAAAAAAATTCCCTCATCAGCCATCAGCCAATTGCCAGTGTTGTATGGGCAAGCTGGGTCTGGATAGACTTGTTTTCCCAGTTCCATTTCCAGTTGAGCAAAGGAACCACTTCAATTCTCTTAGAACCTTCGATACCATAGTAAATAACCTGATATCTTAATTCGGCACTGTTTTCCACCCACATTAAACGACATCCGCCCCATTTTGACTACTAGAAAATGTATCAAAGAGGCTGTCCAATTTGTCTGAGATGAGATAGGCTGAGTTCTCAGCCATGTAATGGCCAACATTCAGAAACAGATCTATTTGATAAAATCATTATTTGACACACAAGGAAACAGATGTCAAGAGTTGTTTGCAGCAGACATCAAGCTTCCTCCCTCCTCTCAGGATGCTGAACAGATTCTTAGTCACTAAGGTGCCATGAACTGAATAGGAGTGAATTCATTGTAAATTCACTCATGCCAGTATTGAAAAGTTCTCTCCATAGAAGCACAGGACTTAAGAGTTTTTAGCCACTTTGCCAAACATAATTCAAATGTTAGAGATTTCTTCATACTCCTCATGTTAATGTAGAAACATATTCCCCTTACTTTTGCAGTCAAAGGCCAACTTCCATATGTGACATTGACTAGTATCTTCTACAAATGAACTGACTTTTGCAGCAGTTTATAGACGTAGTTGGGTGAGACAAGGGCCCCGAGTACACAAACTTGCAATGGCTGAGTGGTCATTCCACACTGTCACTGCATTACAGAGAGAAAACTGGGTGCTTGTCTTGCATACAAGCATGTAGTGCATTAAAAACACTGAGACCGTTTTTTTCATTTTTTTATTACATTTGGACCTTTAAGAAACATATACCATCAGATATACCACTATTCAGTAAAAATCTATTCTAGTTTTTGGGAAGCATATGTGCCACAAACTATCTTGCTTCTAGTCTCCAAGACTTAGAACTAAGAGTTTATCAAAAAGGTGGGCTCTGATCTATGGGATCCTGAGCCTTGAGGTTTTGAATGTTCTGATTATTATAAAATAATTTCAAGTGGATTAACTTAATTCCCAGCTGTTTTTCTTCTGGAATGGGCTAATCAGTTTAAATTATCTAGTCCATTACAAGAATATTAAATTCCTGGAGGTTTGTGATCTAGTCTGTCTTTGGAAAACCTGGTAAAAAAGTAATTTTTTTTCTATACAGTAAGGATGAATTTACCAGAACATACCCAATATTAATCATAACAAAAAGCAGTATAATGTATATGTGTTGTGTTCACTTTAATGACCATTTCATAAGTAACTACTCTTAACTATGGGAGCTATTTCTGGATCAGTAAGATCCAAGCATAGTTAGTTGTAGCCTACACTCAACTTCTTAACACAACTCTTGGTATCTGACATTGACTAAAAGTAAAAAACGGGAAGTGAACAAATACTTACTCATACATGATTACAGTTTTAAGAAGCTACCCTTTGCAGAAGTAAACAAGAGAGGAGACTTTCAGGAAGCTGTTGATGGGGATTGGGAAGGTTTAAAGCTATGGCTTTGGTAAGCACCCCAGTGAGCTGTAGGAAGGCATTGTAAGAGTAGATTCTGCAGCATCAAAGGATAATTCTCTAAAAGAGGAGGGTGTTTTCTCAATTAATCTAAATTCTGAGGCTTTCAGCAGTTGAGGGCTAGAAACAAGAGCCAAAGAAAAGGCCATCTTCATAACACTAAGAAGGGTGGCTGACTGTGTCATTAGGCTCATGATGCTAAATGGTCCAAAAGCCTTTGGTGGTATGATATGGACAAGAAAAAAGTTAATACACAAACCACATAACACCATTAAAACCAAAAAACATTTTTTCATTTAAAAAAGTTATTTAGGACACATAAAACAAGGCAACATTTATTCTTTTTTCTCATCTTCTGGTATGGGATCTGTTGGGGGCTCCTCCACTGTGGCACTGTTGCTCTCTGAGCCAGTGTTGCTATCACTGGTTCCTTCCTCTGCCATACTGTCGACCCCCTCCTGCCCACTCTCCTTGTCCTCAGGAGTAGACGTGCCTTCTTCACCGTTCTGTTGGCTCTCTGTCGTTTCTTCAAGGTGTGTCTCCTCTGTAATCACATATTTGTCACTGTTAGTTCCAAGATGAAATTTTACTCTAGTTAACAGCATACAGCTGTGCTGTCCAATACAGGAGTCACTAGCCACATGTGGTTATTAAACCCCTGAAGTGAGCCAGTGTGACTACAGAACTTTTAAGGATGTTGGAACAATCTGGGTATGAAAACCTACCTTTTAGCTGTAAATTTATGAAATTTATTAAATAAATGCAGATCAAATACTTTTGATAAAAATTTATCTTCTGAATTAAGATGTGTAGAAAAATATAAAATATACACTGGATATGAGGACTATTTAACAAAAGGAAAGCTCATTTTAAAAATGTTTCTTCCATGTTGAAATAATGTTACTTAGGATATGCTAAATTAAATAAAATATATTGTTAAAACACTTGTTTTCCTTAACTTTTAAAAATAGGTCACTAGTAGAAAATTTAAAATTTCACATGTGAATTGCATTTTATTTCTATTGGACAGTGAATGAGAGTCAGTCTGCAGTGCTATGGATTAAATGAGGAGAAGCAGTTGTAAAAATGAGGTAAGGCTGACCTTTTAGATACTTTGTTAAAGTCATGCTGGGTTGTTTCCCGTAGGAAATTAAAAGCATGAGGTTTTGGCTCTAATAGTCTCATATGATCTTCTTCAGGTTTTTCCTTGAGCTAGGAGAACAGAATTTGAGTAAAGACCTGCAAACCTGAAGCATAAGACATGCCTCATTCACAGGTGCCAAAACGGAGGCAAGGGACAGAGTGTTCATCTAGTTGCAAAAATCAGTATTTTAAATTTCAAGCTCTTACTTTAACCACAAAGATGTGCTCACGCTCCAAATTCATTAAGATAAAAAACATGTTCACACAAAACAGAGACTCAGATAATGAAACTGAAAATATGACTATCTAAAATGTTAATCTGCTGGATTAAATTTTGCAAAAATACCTGGTAAAGATCTGTATTTCATTACATGTTTTCCAGATGGTTGCCATTTGACTACAAAGTATGACACTTGGAGGTTGTCATTTGAGTACCAAGTATGACTACTGTCCCTCCCACTTCTTGCAGTGATGCTCCAGGAAACCTTTGGTTTTGTTTTCCATAACGACTTTTAGCTTAGTCCTGTTTATACAGTGTACTAGGCAGTGTCAAAACAGTGCCATGAGGTTAGGTGATCTCAAAATTACAAATGATAATCAATGTAATCAGTACTTTATAAAAGTTTTATTCATACAAGTTATTATTATTTTTTTACCTTGAGGGATGCTGCTTTTAATCAGGAAAATCAATATACCTAGAAGTAAGGGTTTTTCTAGGACAGGGTTGGCAATTTTTTTCTGTAAAGGGGCAGACGGCAAATATTTTCAATTTTGCAGGCCAGGCAGTCTTTGCTGCAACTATTCAACTGTACTGCTTTAGCCCCAAAGCAGCCATAGACAATATGGAAACAAACAAGTGTGGCTGTGTTCCAGTTTTATTTACAAAAGCAAGTGGTGGGCAGAATTGGCCTATAGGTATTACTTTGCAGAATGCTGTCCTAGGACACCAAAGACAATTAATCTTAACAGCAATAACTACATCTTGATAAATAATGTAAGCAATAAAGGTTAAAATATTGAATGTCAGTATCATGTCAAATTCAGTACTGGGAATCGCTCTCAGTGGCAGGTACCAAAAAACTTGCACTTAGAAAGAAAAATCTAAATTAAAGACAGCCGTACAAAGTCTTGGCACTTCCTTGTGTTTGTTGCTGGTGGGTTACCTGTCTCCATTGGAATGTTCTCGCCATCCTTCTTCTCCTCGCCTTTGGTGGCTGCTTGTTCTTCCTCAGGAACGATGCTGCTCTGACTGCGTTCA